TATATATATATCTAAATTAGTATTTGAGGGGGAGGGGGGCTGTACGGTAAGAGGAAGTGATGGAGTGGGTAAGAAAAATATTTTTTTGGTATAATAATTTTTAAATATTTAATTTTAACTAATACTAATAATTTATTTAATTTTGTCAAGATGAAATGTTTTGTCTATGTGGAGTGTGATGCGGCAATTTTTTTAAATAAAAGAGAGTGTATTACACACACCTTGATGAGAGTTATAAAAGTGAGAGGTGTGTTTCTCAAACTAATAAGTGATAGTTTAGGTATAAAACCCACACTCTCAATAGTTTAGGTATGAAACTCACTCTCAATATTTTAGGTATGAAACTAAGAAAAAATATATAGTTAAGTGTGTTTTTGACACTTGTCTCGAATTTTTAATGTGCCTTTTTTTTGTTATAGATTGACTATAGTTTATTATTAATAGTATGATTTTTACGGGATTTTATTGTGTATTTTCATTGCTTAATTTTGCTCATTCTTCTATGATTTTAGAATTTTTGCTGCTTTTTTGTCGATGAGTGTATATTTTTCTATTATTTGTTAGTATTAGGGTCTGTGTGTATACTATGTATGCTAATTTGTTTATTTTATGTTTCTTCTCAAGTTTATACATCTCTAAATGGTTCATCACGCAGATTTCCTAGAGTATGAAGACGTTAATGTGATTTTCGATTACAAGTGCAAGTTTAGTGGTTGAAGTTTATGAACAAGATGAGATTATATTAGTTGCGAGTGCAATCTTTGTTTCTTGAAAAAGATTTCTAAACCCGTTGAATCAATTTTGACTATAAGTTTAAGTCTAAAGGTTGAATTACCTATCAATCGAGTAACACAACCTCATTCAAAGAGTCTTATGCAAAGACAAAATAAAATAAAATTGAAATTATTGTAGGAATGAGTTTACAACAAAGTGTTACAAACGACAAGGATGCAGATGATCACTCAAAAATAAAGTTTGAGGATATAAGTAGCACCGAAGAATATGACAAAAAGATATTTTGTGAAATTTAATTTTACTATATATCGATGCTTAGAGAAGTCATATTTTATAAGCATATTTTTCTTTGCTTAATTTTTTTGATAATTCCTCCAACAATTTTCTCTTTTCTTTTGTGTTTATGTCACGACCCAAAGTATATCCTAGACGTGACATGGAGAATAAGATCCGAAGAGATCCTAAACAAGCCACTTGATATAAGCATGACGTAGTAAGAATATAATTTAAGAGTTATAATCAGCATAAGTCTCAAATGATAAGATGACATAAAAAATACCAACATAGTACATAAGAAATATGCGGAAAACTACTAAGTCTAGCATGAGTCTTTATAACACCATAAGAGTGATTGGGACGTAACTCATACCCCACATACAAGTCTGAAACTGAAAAGACATAAAAGCATTAACAGTATCCATGACTTTGTCCTCGAATCATGAGGACTCATCAATCCAAGTAGTCACTAGCGGGGAATCCACCTAAGTGTGACCGAATACAGGAGCGTCGGATCCTATATTATGAGACAATATAGGCAGAAATATGCATTAGTTTGGTGAATGTACTAAGTGTGAGGAAATGCATAAAGAAACATAGGCATAATAATATGAGGAACTTTAAGCATGATATGCATGACCAAGTTAAAACGTACTTGGACACGTAGTTTGGGACAATGGAATTGCTACTAGAGACCAAACCTCTACTAACAGTAAGGTCGCCATTCCAAAGTCCTCTCGGTGCTAAGAAAATTCCAACGGAAAAGACATAATCACAATTATAGTCAAAAAATTTGGAAAGACACAATTAAGATTACCAATCAAATCATAAATCATAATAGAGTAGCTTCTTTCAAAATCATGATTTCATAAACTTTCATAATAGACACTTACATTTCTAAGCATCTAAATCATGATTTCAATGTGAGAAAACCTTTCATAATTCCAGGATACTTGTCTCAAAGGCATCATTTGTTCATAAATCATTATTTTTCATAAACCATGCATAGATTTCATAATTATAATTCACAGTTCATAAGCATAATTCATGTTCATAAAGTAGACATAGGCATGGGTCCATATGAAATCAATTGAAAAATCATGTCATTTAATCAAATCATGCATAATAAGATTGAATATAAACCATTGAAGCATAATATATTGGACCCATGAAGAATAATATGAAACCCTAATAGAATTGGGTGAAATCAATTTAGGAGATTGAGAATCTTTTGGAACCCAAAGGATGAAAGGGATCCATTGGTGAATTTCTAGATAGTCAAATCCCTAAGAATGCAAGGATACTGAGACCTTGAAGCTTGAAACTATAACTTCCACCTTAAGAGCTATTGAGAGAATTTGGAGAAGAAGACTTGAAGATTTGGGGGAAAATAGAGTGAATAAGAGGAATTAGGCCAAGTTTTAAGAGTAAAAACAGTTATAGGGATAGTTATAGGGCCAAAACAACATGATTTAGGGGATAATTGGATAGGAAAAGACTAAAACACCCTTAATAAAAATATGCCAAAAGACTACAGTTTAAACCTATGGTTCGTAGGACTCCCTACGAATTGTACTGGTTGATAACACTCACTTTGTTCTTTTCCAATGCTTTTAGCCTCTTTTTGTGTGATTTCAACCTTGCCTTGTCCTTAAGCCTTCATAGCTACAAAACAACAATAAATCATTAGATATGAACGTAAAAAGGCATTAAGAACGCTATTTGTTGAACTAAAAAGGCCACAAATGAGTCCAAATCTTAGACTCATCACTAGTCAACCGTAGAACCAACTATTAGAGCCAAAATCCATCCAAATTTCCATGAAACCTTTCTATGGGTCGTCGTCCTTTCTACGACTCGTAGGTACCACTCGTAGAACCCAAGTTTGAGTCTAAAATTTTACTATGTCTGGATCACTTCTACGGATCATTCGTACGTTCCGTAGAACACCCTACATTTCGCCATATCCATTCGTAGGTTAAACATCAAATATTTGAAATTTCCCAAAAATCAATCCAAGTCCTACGACTGCCTTCTTACGGACCATAGAACTTCCTACAGTTTGTAGGTGTCTTCCGTAGAACCTACCTTAGCAGAATTTTCTAAAATCTTTCCTTTTCAATCTAACATTGGGGTTTTAGCTAGACCCAGCAGTAAATTCAACTCATATTCACATATTCACACCCTAAGAATTGGAGCTTTAGCTAGACATAGTAAAGAGATAGAAATCGATACCGAAAAGTGTTTCCATCAAATAGGTACGATAGATATTGTCTTTACACACGTCAAAGATGAAGAATCTTCAATACCCACTTTCAATTGCTTAGAAATGGAAACCTTTAAATCTTCAAAGCTAAGGAACAAAGTCTCCAAAACTCTAAGTTCTAAAAACTGAAAATAATGTTTGATACTGGTTTCCTATTAGCAATACCCAACAGTAAATTCAACCCATATTCACATAATCACACCCCGAGAATTGGGGTTTTAGCTAGACATAGTAAAGAGATAGAAATCGATACCGAAAAGTGTT